TCCTGCCCTTCCTGCGTGCGGAAGGGAAAAGTTTGACGAGTGAAACGAGGGGTTCACAGCCTTTAGCTCGCCCTTCGTCTGCTCTGATGTTGTTTTTTCGTTTGTTCTGGCGTTTTTCAGGGGGCATCGAGGGCAGTGCCGGTAGGTGAGTTAGTTTGATTTTACAGGTCTTTTTTTGTTGCCATGCTGCCTCAGTATCTCGGTTTCAAACACAAAAAATCCCTTTGCAATATATTGTACCCCTGTACTACATGTGGAGGGGTAAAAAATTCATTTCAGGGTGAGGAAGTGAAGTATCAATAGCATTTTCTTTAACCTCGCTTGGCTGGTAATGCACAGATTTCGATGTCTGGCCCATAAATAATGTGGATGTTTTGGGGCTTTCTCGTAAGAATTTAAGGAATATCTTCACAATTAAGAATAAATCGCTTTCTGAGTGCCCATATTCTTGGTTTTCAGATTTACCTTATTTGCTGCTGAATCAGATAAGCAGTTGTTTCTCTGTTCCTCACCATGTAAGAAGAGAGGATATATTCGGAATTGCCACATGCTTTCTCTGGAAGGTGAAGGGACAAGTAACAGTAAGAAGCAAATCTCTAGGGTGCTATAGCATATAAGCTTATGAATAATACATCAGATTTGTTTCCTCAAAAGAAGGAACCTAAACAGTAAATGTGGGAACGCTATCACGCAGTTAAAACCATAAGTCTGCATTTTTACTAACCTGATGCATTTTCTCTTTGTAGGAATGGAGGGGAAAAAACTGATTTCTGCAACAGACACACAATATTCTAATGTGCTTCTTCAGTCTCTGAATGAACAACGTGGCCACGGACTTTTTTGTGACGTTACTGTCATCGTGGAGGACCGGAAATTTCGAGCTCACAGGAATGTCCTTTCGGCCTCAAGTACATATTTTCACCAGCTTTTCTCAGTGGCTGGGCAAGTGGTTGAACTGAGCTTTGTAAGAGCAGAAATTTTTGCAGAAATTCTTAACTATATTTATAGCTCCAAAATAATCAGCGTTCAGTCCGATTTACTTGATGAACTGATTAAATCAGGGCAACAGCTGGGTGTTAAGTTTATAGCTGATCTGGGTGTACCGCCGTCGGAAGGAAAAAAGATGCTGAGCGAGGTCAAAGATGGTGGTTCAGAAGCTTCCACTTCCAGCCCAGTTCAAAAGGATGCTGAAACACAAGTACCTGTAATAAGGTCAGAAAGTCAAGAGGTAACGGATGGAATGCCTGTTATAACACAGTCATTCTCCTTACATGGCATAGAATATGAGACCACAAAAATTACAGTGAGTGATTCAGATGATGAGGATGATGATGTAATTTTTTGCTCTGAGATTATTCCGCCAAAAGAATGTACTAAAGATCCAAATGCTACGGCCCAGAACCAGCCTTGCCGAAGCCCGGCTGGAGTTTCTGACCAAAAATCGTGTGGCCCTGGGGGCTCTCCCCACTTGACGAGCACCACAGGAGCTCAAAAACTCACTTCGTCCACCAGTCAGCTGAGCCCAAACCAAACGCAATCAAGCGCCGAATCACTGGGCTCTGCAACGCCACAGCATTTGACTCCCAGTATCATTGTCCTAAATAAGCCTCTGCTTAACTCATCGCTTGGTGCCAGCTCCTCACATCCAACACATGTGACCCCGACAATTAATTTGCTTGAGGAGAAGCAGGAGCCATCTAGTAAGGGCTCCTTAACTGAAGTGGAAACGACTGCTGTTGATGATGAAGTGGTTGTTGAAGATGATGTCGATATCATTAGCTCCTCTAGTCCTGGCTCAGTCAGCAGTAGCTCTTTGGTTCAGCAACCTTCTGTACCCAAGGCAGCAACCACTGAAGGGTCAGGTGTACAGAAAAAACAGGTTGTTACATTTTCAGAAGAGCCATTTTCTAAACCTGGAGATTTTAAAATAAAGATCTCAGATGTCCTTACTGGAAACAACAAGGAATTCAGTTCAGGTGTAGCATCAAAGCATGTGGCAGAGGGGCAGAAAATCATAACATTAGATACAGCAACTGAAATCGAAGGCTTATCCACGGGCTGTAAGGTTTACGCAAATATCGGTGAGGATACGTACGACATAGTCATTCCTGTGAAGGGCGGTTCCGAGGAAGGTGAAGCCAAGGCTGATGAAGCGCCCAGAACATCTGGTGGCAATTCTCCCAACAGGAAACGCATGAAAGTAAAGCACGATGACCATTACGAGCTCATAGTGGATGGGAGGGTGTACTACATCTGCATTGTGTGTAAGAGATCGTACGCGTGTCTGACGAGTTTACGGAGACATTTTAACGTGCATTCCTGGGAGAAGAAGTATCCATGCCGATACTGCGACAAAGTTTTCCCCCTTGCAGAATACCGCACAAAGCATGAAATTCACCACACCGGCGAGCGAAGGTACCAGTGCTTGACCTGTGGCAAAACTTTCATCAACTACCAAATTACGGCCTCCCACATAAGATCAGTTCATAGCCAAGACCCTTCTGGAGACACCAAGCTTTATCGATTGCACCCTTGCAGGTCTCTGCAGATCAGACAGTACGCGTACATTACTGATCACGCAAGCAGTATACCGGTAATAAATGAGGGGGGAATTGTTTATCGTGTTGGTACGGGGAAGGATGGTGCTGAAGGAACAGCAGCATCGAACCCTCCAGCCAAACAAATTACTTGGGATGACATTTTTGTTCCACAGGGAAACGAAGCAATTTTTAAACAGAATCCATCAGAGGGAAGTACTGAATTTGAGTTTGTAATACCGGAATCTTACTGAAAGGCATTAAATGCTGGAAAAAGGAATCAGTGCAAAAAAATATTGCAGGTGTTATAAATGAACTGTTAAAATTGCTGTAAAATCATGTGTTAAAACTTGGTCTGCCAAGTCATCAAATGGTGGCACTTAGATGGATCATTAGTAACTGCAAGTGATTTGTGGAAGCGATTCATCTGAAAGTTTACTTGAATAGAGAATAAGATATGTCCAAGGAACTGGCAGTGTTTTCTGGTATGTTAATTTTGACGAAAACTTGGGGATTTGTAGCTTGAAAAGGTACAATTTCTTCTAAAGACCTAGAAATCTTTCTTCTAAAGTAATCAAGGTATTTCCTGTACCCATACTTATTATGTAAACGCTTTCTTTCATGTTAGCACTTCAGTGATGAATTCTGTTTAGGCGTTATCCAAGAAAACAGATTTTTCATCATCCATCTTGAATATGGAACCATTTAAAGAAAAAAATAAATCCCACGAGTCACAGTTATTTTTGTGAACAATGCATTACTGCAAGGGTCCAAAATAACTGATCCAGTAGTTCAGAGTAGTGTATTTTTGACCTAGCATCTTAGTTCTGCTTTTATAAGCACTATGAATCATCTGACTTCAGGCAAATAGTCTTGCCAGCAAGAGATACTCGGTTAGGGCTAACTCAGACAAACTTCATTTATATTTGGCAGTGTGATGACCAGAGTATTCAGTGTCTGGACCATTATATTTTACTCTATTTGCAATGGAGGGGAGGAACCCAAACCCACTCAGTAGTGAAGAAGCTTAGAACACTTAGGAAGGAGATAATTTTGCCTTTTCAAAGCTGGAGGAATCAGGTTAGGTTTTCTTACCACTGGAAAAGATGCCAGTACTTAGTTTGGAATAAAGTACTGTTCTTGAAGAGCCTAAAAAGGAAGGGCTTCAGTCTGATTGATTGTTTTGTTTTGTGTTGTTTTTTTTTAGCTGAAATCTTTTAAATTCTCAAAACTATGGAATAAGCAGTTTAGCACTGAGACTACTGAGGATCTTGTATACCTATTGGGCTAGGTCTTTAAGTGAAATAGGAATTTGGGTTTCCCTCCCACCCTCTTCAGGGTGTGGAAAGGAGGACTAAAGACCAATTCTTAGAATCATAGAATGGCCTGGGCTAGAAGGGACCTTAGAGATCATTTAATCCAACCTCCCTGTCATGGGCAGGGACGCCACCTCTCAACTAAAGCAACAGTCAAAAAATACCTTCAGTCCACCATAATCCAAAGCAGAATTTCTCTGCAGTTGTCTCTGCAGTTGTTTTCAGTTTGGGGTTTATTATATTGACCTTTTCTCCCTGCAGCTGGTACATATTTAAGCACTTCAAGACAAATTAGATCTCCAACCGGAACAGGAAGCATTAGATCTGAGAAAATGGCTGTTTACCAGAGTCATAGTTTAGCATTTCAGATTTAGTAACTTGTTGGATTTTTGTAAATGGTAATGTGAAAACTGCTCAAGTTCTAGAGGTGACTGAGAAAGATTGTCGTGCATAGTACTAGTGAGTAATTGTAACCTTGCATTACTTAAATGACAGTTAAAGGGTTTTTTCTTTTTCATATTATAATTAAGCATCTTGATCCTAGGACCTTCGAGGTTAAGGTTTTAGACATACAGTACTCTAGACAGAAAGACGTTTAAATGGTTCAAATACAACCTGAGTTATAAAAAAGGGTACCAGAAATCCGTGTGAGTAACGATGGGAGAAAGAAGGATGTCATACTCAGTACTTCTGTTTCGTGGGCGGTGCACTTGATCCGCGTGATGATTTCCAGATCATCACTTCCCAGGGTTACAGGGTGGACGTTACCTGAGATGGCGTTTCAGCGGTCAGAGATAACCCTCGCAAGACAAGCGTACCTGGCGCAGGTAGCTGCGGTGTAGCTGGCTGCACGCGAGATGGAGAGTTCCTGAACTTTCTGGCAAGATGACGACAACATTAGTTTTGTTATTGACGTGACGCATCTGGAGTTCAGCGTACATCGCAAAGTGTACATTCAGTAAGAATTAAACATAATGGCTATTGATATTTGCTGCTGATATATTTAAAACGTTAAATTAAACTGTGCCTACTAAAGGTCTCTTTTTGGAGGAAAACTGGAAAATTAGGGCTTTGTAACTATTTTTGCTAGAAGACTCGTGCTTGCATGTGTCTCAGGGTCTTCAGTTTTCCTTGGAAGTGATTTTTTGATATCCAAAGTCCAGAGGTCATGTAAAGCATTTTTTTTTCATTTCACTTCCACTATTTATGGGTTTGGAAACATGCTAAATCTGTTCTTTTAAAACTTTTTATGGGGCCATGAGCTTTTATATTTAGATTTCTGGCTATTGCACTTATATTTGTGTTGTTTTGTTTGTTTTTGTAAACACTTAGCTTCCAGTTTAACTTAATGAAAAACCTTATGTAAATACTAAGAAATTGGCTTTGGGGTAATGGAAGAAAAAGATTGAATCTAAAAAAAGAGCATTTATTTAAAAATTAAAATTTCAACAGAGCGTGGTAGCAAACCTCACAGTCATTTATATGCATATAAAAACATTAATGATAAATAATGATAGCGGTGGCTGCATCCTCACTGTATGGTTTCTTTGGGGTTTCATACCATAGCATTCCAGTACATGACTTAAACAGATACTGAGATAACAATCGGCTGCTTATTTATTTTGTACTGTTAAGGCATGCAGCTTATAAAAAGATGCAAAAGCTGACAACTATATACATTGAAGATGGGAGTTCTACAGCTATTGCCTAGGAACAGTTCCACGTGAAACCAGTTCTGCCAGGTCTGTAATGTATATAGTTGTACAGTCTTTCCTTAACATACTTCCTAAACTTGTGTTCTACTTCTCATTAATCAATAGTTGATATTAGTTCTTAGAGCTTTCTATGGCAAAAATAAAAAAGTATAATTCTAAAGATGAGTGTAGCATGTTTCTTTTTAATGACAACTCCGATTCTACAGTCTAACATGTTAGTTTACCAGTGGTTCTTTTCCAGGTCTTTGGGAATAGCAGGGAAGCTGCAATGGGGAGATGGGGGGATGGAAGGTGTTTTTATTTGTGGCTTTCTTTTTTTTGGTGGTGTTTGGTTGTTTGTTGTTTTGAGCACTTTCCAAGAAAGCAAATTAGCTGAAAAATCTATAAGTATTGTGAGCTGAATGCTGGGATAGATGCTTAACTCTCAGGCTACGCAGAGCTGCTGTGGAACAGTCTCTCCAACTACTACCATTGTTGCAAATGAGCTAGAAATCAAGAAAAACACAGTGACCAGTGCCATGTGTTGCAGATAACTCGTGGTGAGGGCTCCTCTTCTTAGCAGGTTGCTGACTAGTTATGATTTGGAAGAGACTGCTGGTGAACTGAGGCTAACATGGAAAAGTTGCTTACATTATCTAGATGTCTCATTACAAAGTAACATTATCAAATGATGGTTTAGGTGCCTTTGACTCCTTGGCATAGGGCTTTCACCTACATCTCCGAACATAAAAGAGCAGCTGACATCATTAGGACAGAATTAGGCCCAAAGAAATACAGTAAACATGGAAGTAAGTAAAGGGGACACTAACAGTGCACTGGCTGGCTGATTTGCCTCAGTGCTAAGCAAAAAATCAGCAGAAATTACTTCAGAGTGAGTGAAGTGAGGGCACCCCGTTACTTATAAAGTTGGGGGGCATGTGGGATTTTAAAAACAGGACTTAAAAAAAAAAGATGCCTCTGGCTAAACCTTTGCAATACAGCACCACTGTCCAATACAGCGAATAGTTGGTTTGAGGTTTGTTTTTAATGCATGATGATATTATACTGGAATTCCTCAACTAACATTAAAGATGCTTGTAAAAGAGGAAAGTTGCTAAAATGTCAAATGCACTTTGTAAATGTTTACAAAAGTCACACAGTTTTATTTAACTTTGGTAAAGTAATAAAAGGGTACGTATGAGTCACAATGTTGACATTCTCATAAGAAATGACGAATACAGTGCAGAATGTTGCATTTACATTAAACGCTTAGTTTCACTCGAGCGGAAGGAGATGGGAAATTCAACAGAAAATCCCACTGGTAATTTTTTAAATGCAAAACCAGACTTGTTCTTTAATAATGAATTTAAAGCAGCAATGTAATTTTTGCTTAAATACCCCTCAGAAAAAAACAAGGATTTGGATAACTTTCTAAGTTTAGCATTTGTCAACTCAAACCCAATGACACAATCATTTCCTAATTGTTTCTTTGCCACTAATTTATGTTCCCCTCATGAGTTTCTTAGTCCGGTCCTGCAGCGTGGCCTCGTCCTTCTAGCCCTGCTCTGCTGACAGGCACAAATGGCAGAGCATGTTTGTCAGAAGCGGGACAGGACTGTTAGCTTTTATTTCAGAGATGCAGCAATATCATGTTTTCTCATATTAATGTGCCCTCCTGATTTGTGGGGACTTTTATCAGAAGTACTATTTTAAAATTGCCCGTGATCTCTTTATCGAGATTTAATTCAGGAAGATGTAATATAAAATGGATGATGGATACCAACAGCGGATACATATTTCTAGTACGCAAATTTATAGGAGCTGCACTTCAGCGATGTATAGTGAAACAAAATGTCATCCAGATATGTTCTGCATACGCTACTGCTTTAAAATCCCGTGAGTGTTATTCCTTTCTCCAGCTGCTCATTTTTCTTCATTACTAGAGAAAAGTTATGCTTACTTTTGGATAAACAGTCGTCCTTTAGCTTATTAATACACTGATTAGTATTTGACAGTGGAAATGATACGGTTAACACATAGCCTAGCCTAAAGGCTTTGCAAATGCATAGGATAATAAAGTGTGGGTCTACTTTGAAAAGTGAGATCAGAGACTTCTGTGTTTCTAGTCCACATTGACAGTATTTCTTTATTATTTTTTTCAGATTAAAAGTAGAGAGATGCCACCGTTCAAAATCCGGCTGGATTTCCCCACACCTTAGCATGCATTCCACTTTTAGATTCTGA